TTAAGAAATCCAGTGGGTTGATACAGCCACATTTAAACTGATTGCTGCAAGAAGGCTTTCTAGCTGACTGACAAAATAAGAAAAGCTACTTAACTTTAAAGTTACTACGAGTCTTTTCAGTAACAATGAGCAGTGGTGGTTGATGAAAATGAGAGAGGGAGAGAGAAGGCATTAGCATAGGATGATAGACAACAGTTATTTCAGTTTATTATGACTACTGATAAGAAAAGGACGAGGGTCAATGAGATGGTCACCTAAAGGCATGGATCAGTGTTAACTTTTGAGCGCAGATGGCTAGAAAGTTGAATGGAACAATTTCAGACATAGTGCAATCGGCCAATCTCAAAATCTCATTTGTACAGACATCAGTCTTAACCTGAATGAGATGTAGAAATTGGTTCTTCACTCTTCTTGAAGTTGTGAAGGCTGTCTCATACCTGTTAAAAAAGCAGGAGTCGATGGTGTGGCACCAGAAGTTTTAAAAGGATAGAAGTAGAAAATTTCTGTATATGTTTATGCAGGTACTGGCTATAGTAAGGGAATCAGGGTTACGCGTACCATACTACTTTGGACCGTCAATTATTCTAGTTTATATGGGACAGTAATCTTCTTGCTGCAAACGTGGGAGAACTAGGCTAGTAAATACTGTATCCAGGATCCTAGAGCACATAGTTATCCGACGCTTAACTAGATCTCGATATCAACTAGGTAAAGAAAACCAGGACGGCTTCATTCCTGGATGGGAGTACATCGAACGAATCTTCACCCTCTGACATGTATTAGAACACAGACACACTAACTGGCCTTGGAAATCTGCTATTTTTCTTGATCTCAATGCCGTATTTGACCCTGCCAGCCAAGAAGTGTTACGGAAGTGTCTGACTGGGAGGGAATGACTGAGCATGTATGTAGAACCAGTCAAAGCACTGCACTCGAACTCACGCACCTGTGTAGGGGCATATGAAGAGTTGTCATCGAAAGTGAAGGCAACCAGTGGTGCCCTGTAAGTATGCTTGCTTTCATCATCTTTTTCACTCTTTGTTATAGATATGCCAATGGATGTAGCCACAAGTAATTCCAACTTCTCGGTTACTGACCTAATCGTATAAGGGCACCTGGTTAACTTGCAGTGAAAAGATGACACAATTCTTTTACGTGAAGCCATTAACAACTCTCAGACCTTCCCGAAAGTCTTAGGCAGAAATCTGGTGTGCAGTTTGCCTCTGTCAAGCATTAGAATGATTCTAAATAGGTTGGATGCTGACGGAATGTTGACTTGGATAAAAAGTGGCTCGTTTGTCACTTGTCAAATTCCATAATCTATGATGCCGGAGAGATATTTGAATTCCCGGTAAGGGATGAATATGTTGTGCAAATCTTTACCCTATCTCAGTTTACGGCTGTGAGAAGTGACCGGTAAAAGTAGGATATACAAAGAAGTCACTGGAGTTTGATCACACGTATCTTAACAGTACCGTTCTCATATGCTGAAATCACACGTAAGAGTAAAATAGTTGGTAAGAAAACTAAGTTACGAAACTTCACCAACTGAGTTAGCTTGAACGTGCGTTACGTTCACCTAACTACTACTTATCTCGACGTGTAATATCAACCAGAATAGGATTTGGCTGGAAAAGGTTAAGGATGGTCAGTTCAAATTTCAGAATCAGAGCATACAGTCTGTGACTTTTGCTTTTAGTCGTGTATGATTGTGCAGACTCCCTGGCTGGGGTTCTCGAGATGGTGCAAAATCAATGATCTCGGATTTTAGCTGATATAGCTGAAAATCAGCCATACTGTTGCAGACGTAAACTTTCCTTAGTATAAACAAAATCCCGAACATTTTGTCAACCTTTGTTATTTCATAAGAAGTCGCAGAAATTCATGCCTTAATTACATCTCATCTTATCTGCACTTTAAATAACTTTTGGTAAGAATACGATTTTGTTTGAGTTAATTTATGCGGGAAATTAAGATCTTTAGAACCAATCAAAAGAGATAAATGTCAAAAAATGGTGATGAGTAGTAATACTACTGGTAAGTGAGTTATTACTCAAATAGACTCAAGCAAATAAATAAATATCACATATTAGTAACATGTTGTTATTATTCGTCCCTTGGGTTCATAGTGGAAAATAGAGCCTCAGATGCAAGTCTCGTTTTCAATCTGTTTTCCCAGTCTCTTCAACCTGGCTCCATCACTCCCCAAAACCTTTCACTTCTTCATCACACAGTCTCCTACATGTCACCCTCATCTCACACGCCCAACTCGACCTTTCGCATCTGAGTTCCACTCGGGGGCCTGGCCTGGGGCGTGATGTCTCCGGTCAACCTTCTCAGTGCATACCCAATCCAATCCATGTCCACTTTCTTTTGCATATTCGCTGGGCAATGGCTTCTTGGTTGGTTCGTTGTCAGCCAGCCAGACAGCCAGCCACAGTTGTTGTTTATTCTTGTTATTCTGGACATCTGGTCTCATCTTCAGTATTGAGTGAGCAAAGTTGGCGGCTGTTGATGAATGTCTGTAGTTTGTTGGAAATGCAATCGTGACACGCCAAGTCTCTCAGCCATCACATAGAAGCACTCACTTGAGTGACGTTGGTGTTGGAAATCTGGGTCTTGTTCACACTTTATGCTGAGTGGAGTGGAGTGGAGTGCAGTAAATCTGCACACTGATTTCAGACTAATGAAGGTATGTCTTGGTGTGTTTCCGATCCTGACTTTGACATCCTCACCTGTGCCTGGGACGCCTGTAGTTGAAATGATGCTGCCCAGCTACGTGGGTAGATGAAGAAGACAACTTCCTTTAGGTCTCTCCCGTTGACGACGATTGGAGCTTGTTGCTGTTGATGATGTTGTTGCTTGGGTATCTTCATCACATCCACCTCTATACTCTCTACATTCACAGAAAGTCCCGTCTTTTTTCGCTGCCTATTCTGCCAGCTTGTTGCTTTTCGCCTGTAGATCTTCGAGTTTGTGCGACAAGACATAAGACATAAATCATCATTGTTGACGAAATCGGAATGTTCTTCTGGGGTCTTCTCACCGTTCCAGTGTATGCCAAAATGAAATGTATAGTCACTCATAATTTTTATTGAAATATTTAGTGTAAATGTTTGGTAACTGTCCAATATTTGACATTTCTTATTGATGCCTATGGTATATATCTGACACGAGGTTTGGTGGGACGAAAAGAATAATCGTGGTCATAAGTTGTTGAAGTCGAATGTGAGATGTATGCTTATCAAGAAAACTGATGGATGGTTGTTCTGTGATGATGCGTAATGCAGCGTTGCAATTTGATCCACACATTATTTGTTTTTCCTGAGGGCAGCCAGCCTGTTCCGTTCATAATTTTGAATGCAGAGCATTTTTAAGTCTCTTTAGGATGGTGGGTATGATATTTTACTTAGGAGGTAAACAGGAGCATGATTCCAAGCCAGTTCTTGCAAAGACTGAGGTCTTCCTTCTTTGGGAGTTTGACGAGGTAACCCTTCTTTTAATCAATCAGCACGAACCTTTCCTTCCTTTCTTCTTTGTAAATTTTTTGCAGTAGTGGCGTGAGCATGTCCGCTGTTGTCTCTGTGTCTGTTTTCAGTGCTTCAGGAGGAATTTCATCTAGTCCCATATTTCAGCAGCTTTATGGTGTTCAGGACTTCACTTCTGCTTTTGTCGAAGGGTTTATGTTCACGGGTATTTCCAAGGTTGGTGGTGGTATTTCCGGACGAGTTGCAGGTGGTCGTCGGTTCAACAGTTTCTTTGTGGTGGTTTGCCCATCGTTTCTTTAGTAATATAGGTCTTTATTAATCTACATAATTTTAGTTCATTACCAGGTGATAAAAATACCATGGACGAGAATGTCTATATTTTTTTATGGAGATGTATTTGCCCTACCTTTCTGCAAGTCTAATGAAACTAATAAGCCTACAAAGAATTTACGAGCTATGAATATATCTCGGTTGTCTAAACATTTAAATGGTAGCTTTCTAATTGTGCTTTTACCGTTATTTTTTAGATACTGAACAGATGGGCATAAAAGATAGCAATTCACAAACGCAACTGGAAGTGAAAGTTGCTTATTTCTTTAGCATTGCCACCACTTTGAACGAGGTTGAGCTACATTATACTTTTCAACTTTTCGTTTAGTAGCAGTTAATTCTTTTATGGTGATAACATAATAATTTTAAGATAATCTTATCTCGATATTAATGTCCATGATTATTGGAAGGAATTTCATCTTCTGTGGACTGCCTAACGTTGACTACAGTTTCATTTAAATTTAGCCTATCATAGGTCGAACTGATATCTCATAGATAAGTTACTGGAAAGCTTCGACTGTGCTCAGTCCTTGATCTAAAGATGATAGTTGTAGATATTCTCACTTTAGGTCATCTAGTAAGATCTTACTCTAGCTACCTCAGTTTTTACATTCAAACAGGGTGGAAAAAAGACCTCGGACCCTACTATTTGTCATCTTGAAATATATTACCCTGATTAGACTACCGGCTATATCGAACCAAACCTAAGAATGTACCTGTATGCTGACACAGTCTGACATTCTCTCTACGATGGGTCAACAACGGGGAAGCAAACAAAATTTATAGCACCCGGTTACCCACTGAAAACATAGCTATCATAACTCAACAGGTATGTTTATAACGGTCACGTATCTGGAATGGTTGGAAACAGGTTAGAGTCTTGGTAGGAAAAACATCACTCAACGGACAGTGAACATATCAATCTGATGAGTAAACAACAAGATAAAATGTGTCCCATGGACTTGACTGCTAGCCATCATTTATTATTTAATCAAGATAGGGAAACCTCCAGTATTAGAGCATCCGCAGGAGGCATTGATTTGCAGAAAAGGTTGGTCGACTTAGTTCTGTAAGCCTGCAACGTGAAAGATGAAATATTTCAGTAAAGCATTTAGATAGTCTGCATTAATCTTAGCGAAAAATGAATAATTATTTGTCAAAATATAAACAAGGATAGCTTACGTATAGTCGTGGTTTTCTATCTGGACTTGTGTGCAGAATGAAATCAGCAAATGTAGGTACATGTAGTTCAACTTGTAGATGTTTAATTGACTCCATCCATGACCAATTGTTGCTCATCCTAAATTTATCTGATAATTTTGAATCCCAAAATAGATATCGTGGCCAAGTAGAGCTTTGATTAGCTACACCAGCTCCGGTTTCATTTGTTGCATTTCTGTCCAGTAACCATATCCCATTAATAATCGGTGCAATTTTCTTTATCAATGGTTGGGCACCAAACCAGTTTCTCAGTGATGTTGAAGTACATGAATCATAGAATTCTGCAACTTTGAATTTTGCAGAATTTTTTCTTCCAGAATAATTTTCATAGATATTACGTAATGAATGAATAATTGCATGTACATTGATTTCAGATAAATGTTCAATCATTGGCCTATCAAAACGTAACAGTCGTCGATATCTACCGGTTTTAAAATAATCTTGTATAATGCCATGACCGAATGCACTAGCGATAACACGATGTGCTTGTACTGCTGGTTGATCAGCATTTTGTTCTAGATGAAATGGTGTGTAGTAAGAACCGCAAGCATATTGATAGAAATTTTCACATGGAGCTATGGTTGTATTCATATGAGACACAATGGAACTTGAAGATAGAAGACATTCTTTTGTAAAACACTGATTACGGTTTTTCCATCGTTCATTCCGTTCACTCTTCCAATACACTATTACTAGGATAAACAATATAAGTAGTAATATTGGTCCAATAATAGAGAAGAGGGATTGAAAACGCTTGAATGCATCATATGCTTGATTGCTTCTACGTACTGGTATTTTTTGTCTAACTGAATCTATCACAGATGTTGTCAAGTTGTTTACGCGTTCCCATAGATAACCTTTTTTATCCTCACCTTTTGACTGAGGTGCATCAACTATTGAAATGCCTGCAGTATTATCACTAAAAACTTGATATTTGAAAGTTTGTCCAATATTCATTGAATTAGTCGGTGAAATTGATTTTGACGTTAAAATCGCAGTGTCAGTAGATGTCATGTTAAGGAAACGAGTATTAACAGATTAAACTTTAAGGAGATAATTAGGTATTGAACAGTTTTTAGCGTTATTTATAGAAGTATGTATTGGCTAGATGAATTTGTCTTAATTCTGACGGTTATAATAATAACTATAATAAATAATGTAGTATTAAGATATTCGACATACTAGCAATACTCTTATATATCAGATTAAAAACTTGTTATTGAGCATGTACATACTCACATAGCTATGCATAAACATACATACATGGACACATACTATGATTTACTGGATATGAATTTCAATGAGCACCATTGTTTGTTAAATGCTCAATATGCACTGTGCAACAGTGAAATATCTGATTGGATGATATCATTAACTCGAACTGGCAAGTATGTAAATAATGAACAGCTAGACAGAAATGGAATACAATTATTGAAATGAGTTAATCAAACGTTTTCTGACAAAATAATCAAAAGATCTAAATAGAAACAACACCATAAAACGTATGCACATTGAGTAAATAATACTTTATTAATTATACATAATCCTGTATGTTTGACTGATATATGCAGAAAATCCTATGGTCATCTCAGGCTATTTAAGAATACGTGCTGTTAAATAGACTCCATTGGGTTGAGTTAGTTACAAATAGATGGTGAAGGTTACATACAGCTAAAAGGCAGCACTAAATAATTGTGACAGATAGCAGGAAACCTCATCTGAGAAAGTTATTTCGTTCATAAACATTAATTATCAATTTAGACAGATATCGAAAGTTGAAGAGGCTGATTTTATCGCATTCGCTTTAACATGGAACGCTCAACAGAAGAGACTTATATTTACTTTTTATCGGCAAAGTTAATGCAACACAAGAGCAAACCACTCAGATGTATCGAAGTGATCTCTAGATTTCTTAACTCCTACGAAATCTTTTTGTTTTAGCACAATATTAGGCAATATGATCCCTGGAAACTATTTGGATCTTAGTAACACTTTTGCGTTGATATATTCTTTTGAAGCTAAGTTGGCATCTACACGTTCTATGTAAGTCATCCAGCTAATTGAAAAATAGATAATAATCCCTAGTGTGATGTTTGAGTGGCCTGTAGTTCGAGCTTGAAAACAGCTCCTGATTGAAAGTGTATTTCGTCTATTAAAGCCGGAAAGTCCATTAATGTTGGCTGAATTGTATTAGTGATATGAAGTGGTAAATCATCTGAATATATTGCTGTATTATATTAGAATTTCAGCTAGCGCTAAAAACGTTAATCATTAGTAAATATTAAAACGTGTTTTGAACCTTCAATTTTTTGGTAGTTTTTAAAGACATTCAGTAATGTTCAACCCGAACCGACTCTTGCCTAGTGAGATTTCGAGTATTACAGAACCTGTTTTTTTAATGGAAAAACAAAATATTCTATTACTTTAATTCTCTCATTGGTCAATACACATAAAGTTTATCTAGAAAGCCTACTGTGAAATCCTAAATGAAGTCCATTGGCATATTTCTATCTCATATTTGCCATTAATATAATCAAGACAAGAATCAACTCCTATGAGACTAGATTATACAACATATAAAAATCAACCAATGGGTATAACTGACAAATTTTGAACGCCATATTTAATTTGTTCAGAAAGTTAGTTGAGTAATTATAAAAATTTGTGTATAAAACACCATTTTCACAGGTAATTTCACTTATATCTTGACAAATTCTGATAAAAATGCCTAATCATCAGGCCCTTTGATACGAAGATTAAAATTTTATATCATATTTAGCCGTGATACAGTCCGTAGTATCTACTATAGATTCTTAAGGTTAGTCTGTTATTGTGTGCAGAAGGTAGTATGACTGTTAGTTAGTTGGAGGCAATCGGCAGGAAGCCCTGGACTAAGGTTTCGTCCTTTTTGGCACTCGTCAGCAAGACATCTGCAACCTTGACGGAACTGACTTCCCACCTGAGATTCGAACCTGCGTCACCCAGTGTTTGCACTCAGGACTAGACAACATTAAATTGGTTGCACTCCCGTGACCAATCAATACAAGGTAGTATGACTGTTGTAGAGAAAAATAAACTAATGAAAATGAAATAATCACAGTGACTGAAGAGTCTATGTATCTTGGTGAAAGTTACAATGAAATTGAATCAAATTTTTTTTATCACAGTGTTTTCTAAAATTACTAAATTGTGTCTATTATGCTCTGAATCTTTGACACACCTTTGGCTTAGTGGTGGTACTCCTGACTAAAACACTAAGTGAGACGAATTCGAATCTCTGAATAGATATCAGTTCCCTTTGAAGTTGCAGATACGCCTTTGTGGTGAATAATAAACAAGCACAGAACCAAGTTCATACAAGGCTTACTGCCGATTTCTTTTAAAAAATATAACATCATTCAGAGTATGTCATGATGCTGAGCCTTTTAGCTGGATGGCTAAATAACAAGATGATTAACAGAATTCAGCTAGTAATTGGAATAAAAATACGTGAAACCAGCCATCTTTTAGTACGTAATCATTTTACATAGGAACAAAATGCCTGTGCGCTTTTTTCATCTTGCCTTTAAGTGAAAACGTTTGTTTCTTTTATTATATAGAAGTTTTACACGGAGTTGACGACGAAGAGCAAGTTAATATATGTATCGAATTGGAATGACACTAAGCAAACTGGGTAATCCACCGAGGAATTGGTGAAGCTTCTCTACACTAGCATAAAACTAACGGCTTATAGAAATAAGCTTTTTAATTCATATGGCTGATATTACTTAACTAAACTAAACAATAATCACTAAGACCGAAGTTTCATCAAGCTTTCGAAATTAATCATCAGAAAGGCAATAAAAAACAAAAAGTGTACTGGTAATACTTCACAGGACTGATACTTCTTTTGATTATTTTTCTATACTCGCTGTGTAGCACCAAGGCAGCTGAATTATGAGCAGTAAGGAACAAAACGGAATCTCTAACAGGACTGTCAAAGAATGCTATTTAAAGTCTAAGTAGTATGAAGCCTAAGAATATCATCAGTTGACTGGGATAATTAACATCAGGTCTATATATAACAAAGTAGTTTTCGTGATGGAATACTGAAATCCCATCAATGTAGCAATCATGAAAATAGGCGAAAGGAGAAATGAGGCTCAGTAAGTATTTCATATCGTTTTCTCCTAATCATAATGAACAATATCGAAGCACATCTCAAACTTGGTTACTTCTGTATACTAGAAGGTGCTGACATATAAGACAACCGATATCTATGATTCAAATAATTTTTGATGGGAAAGAACTGAAAGTATGTCAAAGAGAAATATTCAATTTAAGCAAGGACAAAATTGGTTAAGACCTCATATCTTAAAAATTCTTCATGCCAGAAGCTTATCTTTTAAAGGCCATCAACTATTTTTTGTCGATATGACTTGTCAACTAAATAATATTGTAATGATATATGCTGATTAAAATAAGCGTATTTCTTAGTTTTCTCATACGATTTCATATACACTGAGATATAATTTATTTGAAGTTTTTTGGAACATTATGTAATACTGGACACTACTTATTCGATCCTAATTTGACTTATATAGCCAAAGTTAAACATCAAGAAATACTGGCGCTTTTAGTACTGGCTGAACTGAAGTTTTCACGAAGTGGTTCTTGGCGTCAGTCTCCGTGTTCAGGTTCAGAAGGAAATGAAGTTGGCATGAATTGTATAAGGATTTATAAGAATAATTATGACTTGGAATGAGACTTACGTAGCTCATACTATGGAGTTCTAAATCTAATGAACATATGAGCCAGTCAAAGCAATCTGAATCAGAGAACAAAGAATATAACTAGACGACACGGGAAATATGCTGAGTCAGCCTTCTTCTTAGTGTCTCATCTCATAAGAATAATTCCTAAAATTATTGATAAGGGATATACTGACTTTACTTCCTCATGAACTAACATTGAATTTGATACAGAGTGACGTTTGAAACTGCTAGTTGAAGTTCAAGCACAGACAACACTGAAACTACCAAGACTGAGAAGTATACTGGATAAACTGAAGAATATAATTAATGTCCATACGAAGATTTGAAAAAAGGATGACAAATATGGAATAACAAAAGGGGTACCGTTGAAAATGACCGTACTGAGAACTAGTGAAATCGATTTAAGTAGGAACAGAAATAGTTAGGTTTGCCTTTCGCTAATTAAGATGTTAAGCATCATCTTAATACTGGTGTGCAGGACAGTACAAAAGTGCTATTTGGTTTCCAAAAACGTTCACTCTGAACTAGATCTGGTAGCTTGTTCAATCAGTGATTGGTATAATCTCCGGATTTTGACACAGCAAATTCTAACTCAATAAAACTACTTTTCACTAAGTGACCTGTTATCATCACAGTAGTATTTTTCTATTTCTTCTAATTAAATTTCAAAACTAAAAAGTAATCCTGGACATACTAACCACATGAGATGCATTCGCCAAATACAACCAAATCATAAAATTCAACGTTGAAAAATTAGTTAACTGACTCGATAAATATCTATCTCTACCATGTCCAGAAATGCAACAAGGGAGCCAGAAAATACTAACGTGATTTTATGAGCAAGCATGAACAATCTTATTAGGACAGCGGAAATGGAATACAGAATCATCAAAACTGGAAGCTTGGAGGAGCTAAATCAATCCGACAGTGATTGCACAAAGGTGCTTTACATACAAATCTGTTACGATCACATTAACACTGAGGTGATTTTGAAGGTAAACTAGGTTGACCAGTACTACTTCGGCTTTCTGTAGACAGTTCATAATCTCACTCTTTTCAACTTCTTAAATGTCTGTGAAGTCTTTTGATATGGATGTTCTAATGTGTTCAGTGTTGCCATCTTTGAAATGCTTTTAATAATTTGTTCTCAAACAACACTGGGACAAGATCGTTCACAACATATAAGTGAGCTGCAAAATAGGTTGCTGTAAAGTGTGTTAATTAATTTCAGAGTTGAAAACTAACTGGTCACTGACTTTCCGGGATCATTTCCAAGATTTCAATTTTTGTCGTATTAGCAATAGCATAGCATAAATAACTTCAGGATTACTGTTTGAACGAGGTTGGTGGATAAGTATGGACATAGCGGTTATGTATACCGAAAACAATGCTTTACCCATTGAGTATCACACCACAGGCGCCTTTTGCATCATTTCTTTTATTCTCATCAATAGTGTCTCTAATGAGGCGTTGAGATGAATATTTGGATAGTCGTATTGGTTGATTTGAAGCTGTTATCTGCTTATTTATAGCCTATT